ACACTCACGTGCTGCTCTTTTTTAAATCAGGGGCGCCGAGAGGGAAAAAAAACCCTCCTCCCTCAATTCACTCATAAATTCATTTCTCCATGCATCTGAAATAACTTATAGCGGTAAATTTGGATTACAGATGAATACTTATTTTTGTTTCTTTGGAATGAATCGAATTTTGGACCTCCAACTGAGTCTGGACCTGGGACAAGTTAACCCTTTCCTGGTCGTCCCTGCTCATTACCTTTTGAAAACACCAATGGGGTAGCTACCCCTCGGTGAAATAGGGGTCCCCATTGCCGACTGTATTGGGGGGCGGCGAGTTTCCTCGGCTTCGGGGGCCCCAGTTGTACCGACCTAGCGGCGCTCTTGGATTTTAAAATTTATTTTCAAATAATGCATTTGTTGAAAGGGTTTTATCATTGCTATAGTTTAAAACTTCACTACCAAGTGTATTTCAATGATTATTGTACTTGGAAAATATTTGTAATGCTCATGAAAGTGTATGTTTCTTTTACATTGAATTAATTTAAGTACGGTTTTTCATAAGTGCTAATTGTTAAAATTGTAGGCCATGGAATTCATTTTGTAATATTTATACAGGAATCATTCTAAGAATTTTATTGTACCCGTATATGTGATAGTGACATCTCTTGGGACAGTTCTTTCAGTGTTTTAATAGCATCATGGAATATTTTCACAAAATCAATCAAACAACTTGCAAATGTAGCTGAAGCATCTACCAATACTCTACAACAGTGTCAAATCGTCTTAAGTAAAGCCATTGTTCCAAACATAGACACTTGACTACACAATTTTGATTTATTCTTTAAATTGCAGTGTTGTTCATTCAGTATCATTCAATAAATAATTCATTCCCATCATCTACAAAAAGACCCATGAAGAGCTAAAGTTCACTTGGGTGTTCCCAGTGTCATCTGCAGGTGACACATCTTTGAGAATTCTAGTAAATAGTTGTTTACGAATTTGAGTTAGTGCCACCAAACTTGTGTTTGGGCCTTTCTTATTGTAGAATTTTTCACCACTGCTACTAGGGAATTGTGGGTTTTATTTGAAATGTCTCTCAGTAATTACACTGCATTGAGCCCTTCTGCTCTCTCATCCAACAGATATTGGAAGAAAAATAAAGATCATAGAAAATAACTTGTTTACTGCAATTTTAAAACTGTGAATAATTAATTAGTAATTGTCATTTGATAATTAATTGTTGATGACATAGGTCTTACTGGCTGCAAATACGGAGTGTTACCTCCAGGTGACTGGGAAATGAGCTTGCAATGGTGCAGCAAGAATGCTTGGTGGCATGCATTCTTATGTATTTTATTTTTATTGTTCGTGACATAGAACTGCATGAGCTTTTAGAAAGGGAAGATGAACTTCACCAGGACTTTTGTTGTTGTTGTTGTTATTGCTGAGTTATAGAGCAACTTTTTTATCCCAATTTGTCATCTCCATTCCTTTTTCACACCACAATTCCTTATTCTTGCACTTTTCATGATATTTCATGTTTTTCCATTTTACATGCAATTAATTTTTCAAATTAATTATATTGCAGTTTTTTTTTACTACAATTTATTATTAACTTTTACTAAATACAAAACCATCATTAAATATCAATATTCCTGCCCCAGCAAGAAAAATTATATTATTGTCATCCGAAAAGTAAGACCATCACTTGAACAATCTGTGTAACTAATTGTCTTTGGCATATTAACATGCAGAAACCAACATATTTTCTCTAAAATTTTAAAATTAATTTTGTGTGGTCCAACTTCATTTTTTCCCTTAGTGAGAGTAATAATTATGGTCTACTATCTTGATATCTGTATAGAGTTATCTTATTATCTTCTACAGGAATCACATATTAAGCAATATCAGACAACTTCAAAGATCAAAATCAAAACCAAATCTTTATCTTATTTTGTATATTTCCCCCTCCTTTCCTTTGACAGATTTATCTATGCAGAGCAGAGTTGATGAGCTTTGGAGTGAGAAGAGAGAACTAAAAAATTTGCTAATGTCTAGACTTCGGATTTTTAGGTCCTAAAAAACATGGTTTTAGGCACCTAAAAATGTCCTAAAAAGTAGGGAAATAGGTCTATAATAGGCATAATAAATAAAAAAATGTTATGCTTCTCGGCAAGCAAATCAGTGATTTATTTCAAAACACACTTCAATACATTATGATAGATAACATAATATTGTAATTGACCAATCATTCTAAAGGGAAAATATTCTACACAAAATCTGTGTCACTGTCGGTTAATTAAAATATATAGGATAAAATTATGTCTTACATGAATTTTAAGATTAATGCAACATAATTATTTTTTAAATAACAGATTCTTCAATTTCACTTTTTGCCGTAATTTTGTCCACAATAATTAATAAGCATTTCCAGATAATGTGGAGGTAAGTTTAACTTTTGTCGCTCAGAATTACCTTGAATGCTGACAAAGATCTCTCAGTGTGTGTGATGGTGAATGGAACGTTTTTAAAAAGAGAAACCATAGGTAGAGTAAATCCTGTAGGGAGATCTGTCTCGTGACTGGTTAAAATACCTGATACTTTTTTAATACCGTAAATCCAGGATTTTTGGCAAGTACCATCTGTAGTTTTCTGGAAGTAATTTCCTCACCAACAGCTTTCTTTCTGCTCTAGTAAATAATGTGATTGATTCAGCGAGACTGAGCTTTAATGATTCTAATTGCTCTGTAGTATCTGCTAAAAACACAAAAATAGCTTGAATATATGACAGTTCCAGCCTCAAACCTTTCTCTCATAGGACATTCTGTTGATCGGAGGGTATTGCTTCTTACATTCCAAGGAATGTTGGCTGCAGTGAATGCTTTACACATGTCAAAAATAGAACTGGGATTTTATTTTTCAGGGCATGGGCTGTGTGAGTAAAGTTTGCTTTTAAGAATCTTTCTTTTCAGAATTTGCTTGATGCATTAATGTTTTCTCTCGTTGTACCAAGAGACTTCTTATTTCATCAGAGATCTTAGATAGAAGCATATATTTGTAAATGTATTTTAATGTTGGTATAATCATATTTTGTTAAAATAATTAAAATTTTAAAGGAATAACCAATATATAATATACATAAAAATTTGTATAACTTAAAAAAAAAAAAGTATTTTATAAAATTAGTTTGGTTTGGTACTGTTAGACCCCAGTAGTGGACATAATAAAATGCATCAAACAATTAAGAGATTATTATCAGGTAGAAGAAAAAGTCAGATGGTACAATCCTGGTAGTTAAAATACACTGACTCATGTGAATAATACAAATGGCAGAAATACAGTAAAACGCTTACCTCTTAATTGCAGACCTGACAGATTATTTTCGCATCTGTTGTACAACACTGGAAATCTGAAATCTATGTTCTTATTAATGTACTTTGGCTAAATTTGTTCTAAGGCATTTTGCAGCATTTTGCACTTGCACAAAAATTATCACAGCAACCAAAGACTTTAAAATAGTTGTATGATTACAAATCCACACTTAGCCTTATTTTCAAAGAACTGTTTCTGAGAACCAAATGTGGGCTAATTGTTGTTTGCAATTGTAATTTCTTGAAATTGAATTCCCTTGCTGAAATTCTAATTTTGCATGCAGCACCGTAAGATTCACTAATTGCTTTATTTTTTGTTGCGCTAAGCCTAACCGACAAGAACCACATTTTATCAATGAGAAATCAAATCCAGTCAATGAAAGGTTGGTTGGCACTGGTTGCAGTTCGTTACCTTTGTAGGTCAATTATTTGTGTAATTATCTACGTTAGACTCAATAGGCTGTAAAGAAAAACATAAAAGATACAAAGTCTACTTATGACTCATCATTAGTCATTGGATGTTTAGGAAAATGCCTATTTTATTCTAATGAAAATATTTAAAGGCAATTAATATAAGTATATGAATTATGAAAACCTAAACATTCTATCAAACAACCTGTTATTTGGGTTTGAAGGTCACTGAATTTTTGGAACCGAAAACCATGCATTGCTTTTGGATTTTTTCTTCACATTTCTTTGCACAAATAAAGTAAAAAACGGTAGTCTCTGAGCACTTGGTTGAGCAATCGGAGCTTACGTGAGCACTGAGCAACAATTCGCGACGTAACCAAAGCACTCGTGACTCAAGAGGACAGAGCAATGATCCCCACTTTTGACATTATCTGGCCATGCCACAAGTTCTTCTGCAAAGTACGCAGTGTAAGCCTATCTCTGCCGGGTATGAGGTGCGTTTTCATTCTGCCCGCAGTTGTCCGAGTTGTGCACCACACTAAGTATTTCATCCGTGCCTCTAAGTGTAGTAACCATGCTCAATCCTGATTAGATGCCAATGTCTCTCACTCACTAATGATTCATTAATAGACTAATCTCTCATGCATTACTGTTTTTTGATACTGACTAATTTTAGATGCAAGTGCAGTGAAATATACTCCTGCTTTTACCATCCAATTTTAATGCCTTTTTCAGTGCCCAAAACAGAAGTTCTTAGTGCCTTAAACTCGATGTCTACTCATCATGCTTAATTTTAATGATACTGATTTCTAATGCCCAGTTTCTGGGCATATGTTTGTTGAAAACTCCACTGCCTTGAAATTTGGAAGTCAGTGTGTTAGCCCCCAGATGTGGAAGCAAATGGAGAAAATACAATAAGACTAGTATAATTTTCAGAGAGTTGAATTGTTTTTGAATGTTGTTTTTGAGATGGTGTTGGTACAGTTGAAAGTAATTGTTATTTTAATAACATAATAATCATTGACAATGAAGGTTTTTACCATTAACACATGTAAGGGAAAAAAGTGACAAGCTGTTCACTAGGTTTTGCTTAAAATAACCTTTCTGACTTACTTAAAATATATATAATAATATATAATAAAAAAAATAAATTATAATGGCTAAAATGACTCCTGAACAATTGAAATTTTAAGTATCCTAGGGGGGAAAAAATCCTTTGAAATGTAATAAAAAACTCATTTGTTATTAAATATTTATTTATTATTTTAAATAGAAATTGTCAGTACACATAAATGTAGTGAAACCATGACTACAACAAAGCATCATGATTTTCCCATTCAAATCTCTTGTAACGTGTAAGATTCAAATGTCAAACAGCATCCCTTTTTAGAAATAGCTGCACTATCCAACATAATAGGGACCTGAAACAAAGCAAAGCATTCTAATCAAAACGTTCACAATGCAACAAAAATGAACAAAAACTTTAAAATTCAATAATTAATGTGTTACTGAGGCTGGGAAAGAGGATAATGGTTTGGTAATACTTAGATTTCTAAAACTACACTTTTAAGGAAAGATAATATGCCGATACTAAAGACATTGTGCATACTTCGTGTTATCTATTTTATTACTACACTCGCACATCTGTATATAAAGAATTGCTAAGTTGGTGGACCCTTTAATACTACAACATTAGTACTAAAAGTTTGTTTCAGTATATCCACCTTGCCCTAAAGAGTATTCAGTTTCCGATTATTGTTCGTAAGCATTTTACAGAACAAGCTAAATATGGTCAGGGCCAAAAAACTAAGCAGTTGCTTAGGAGGTCCCATTCGTTTTTTTGAGTAGGCCTACCTCCGGAGGACATTTTTCCAGAAGGAAGCATGATTTTGTGCTCGAATTCTAAACAGTAACAAAATCCAGATCCTTTAAAGTATTTGTGATTCAAATAATTGCCATATCATTTTAAACCAAGCAGTTGGAAAAACTTTTCGAAAAGTTTTATTGATTTCAATTCAAGCACCTCAATTATCATTATAATCTCAAAAATTTTCACTTTATAGAATATTTGAAGCCCTATCATCTTTACTTTAACCCTGCAGTATACATCTAACGATTCTTTCAAATGAAATCAGTGCTTAGGGTTACATTTTGAAGCTAGTTAGAAAAAAAGGAAGTTAATAAAAGCAATAAAATTAGGTCAAATACAACACGTTATTTTGTAAAGGAAAAAGCAGTTAAAAATCATTATACTTACAAATATTCTAGCCTCCCCATTGTCGTCTGTCTCTTCCTACAACTGAAGGCACACTGCATCTGGGAAGTCCTGGCTCCTGAACAGTTCAAGAAAAACAAATTTAGTTAACTAGAAAAGCAAGCTGTTAATCATATTTTAGGACAATTTTGAGTCTACCATAATTACACATTAGTTATTTCTTTAGTAAAATCCCAAATGTGCAATGCCAGGACTCTGCAATAAGATGGGTTTCAAAATCTCAAATGCCTAGAAGAAAAAATCTCTGCTTTACAAAATTGTATTTATAAAATACTCAATGCTCTTGTTGCGCACTCTACTAATGTGAATTGTAAGGCCATACAACCGTTATAGGGTCATGGTGTCATGAAAGAAACAAATGCTGAGATATTGTGTATGAGATCCCCTCACATACAAAGATGGACTTTAATTATCAGGATAGTGGAATGATGATTTTTTTTAATGTAACATAAAAATTAGCTTTTAAATGCAAACACATTAAAGATATATAAAGCTCTGGTAAATATTACACAACTAATGCCCGAAAACAGCTTTTAAAAATGTTTGAATTTTCTTTTCCATGCTTCTATCATTGTGTCGTAAGCCTTAACAACCCCAAATTCACCATACGAAACTACCATTTTGTTGGTCTCTCCATCAACCCTTCAGGGAGTAGAGATAAGGATAATCCACTTTGAAATCTTTAGTTTCGGTTTCCGAATTGTCCAAAACATAATATGTATGAAGAAGGGTTGGTTGAAATTTGTTCTTCCCTTTTCATTAATTCCATCTTCATAAAAATTGTACAGCAGTAAAAACAACAACAACAAACTAACACTAAGGTCAATCTGACACTAGAATATTCATAACAACATAATTGAAAATATGGCTATTAATTTATTTTAAAATAATTTTTAATTTATTTATTTTATTTAAGGAACTTACAAATTAAAATAAAGGTACAATTTAGATAATGGTATAAACAAAATTAAGCATTTAAACTTGCAAAACTCATTAATTTAATACAAAATGCATGATAATACATTAGTTATATTACTCTCTTGCCTCTAATACAAAATGTCTGTACAGAAGGTCTTGGAATTAATGCCACAAACTTCCAAGATTTGTAGGAGGGTCGAAGTTGATCAAGTTTTGCCATAAGTGAGAAATTTCATACAATGAAGTTACATTTCTGACATGCACTATGAGAGCATCAACATGACATGCCAAATAGTAGTAAAAGGAGAGTTGTGTAACAATCAGGGACAAATGTCAGACATCTAACTTTGTTATATGAAATTTCCCACCATATTGGCCATCACCCATTAATTGGCAAAACTTGATCCTTGTTCACCCAACAAGACTCAGAAGTTTGTAACAAGTTTTGATGTTCTGCATCAGCATTTTGACCGTTGTTGGGTTCAGTGTGATTGTAAAAGTTTTTTGCAGTATTAAATACATGGTACTACAATGGGAGTGTGTCTTCTACTTCAACTCAATTGAAAGAAATGAATGGAATTTTTTTTAAACATGAGGGTGAAGATAAAGTGAAGGCAAGCGTGTGGAGAGAGAAAAAACTGAAGAGTGTGTGTGTGAAAGGAAGAGAGGGAGAGGGAGAGAAAGAAGGAACAAGATAGAGGGAGGTAAAAAAGGGAGAATCACTTTACAAACTTACCTCTTGTGGTGCGCCATCTTCATTCACGAAAGGGTCGAATGGGTTTGGAAAACCCAGCTCCTCAAAATAAAAAAAAGGCATATTAATTTTGCAAGTCAAGATTATTAAAACAACAAAAGAAAAAATCAAATAAAAACATGCTTCTTTTTTCCTTTTCAAACACTTCTGATAAATTCACTGTTTTCATGGAAAATGAGTACCTCATTGCCTACATTTTACATAATGCATTCAGTTGTGCTTTATGAGATTGACCAACCAAGTTTGACACATTTTGTCTGTTTGTTTTATTGTTATCGATCGTTTGGAATGACAAAGTTCAAATTCCATAATTATTTTACAACTCTATATTAATAAAACTGTTTGCAATTTCAAAAACATTGTACTTTTTAAGTTCTCACTGTTATTAACACAACAGTTTATAATACGTTTGTTTATCTCGGACATGATTAAAATAATTTCAATTTCCTTTACTGACAGGTATCCGTAGTATATTCGCCGCTATCAATTAGCACAAAGAATGTTTTCAAGCACGTATAGCTTTATTCCCACGTCTATTAAATTGTGCACTCTTGATCTTCAACATAAGAGGAATTGTTTACTTGAGATACAAAAAATTGTAAAAAAATCCACCTTTCCCCACCCTTAGCAGAAATTAAATGCATCCGTTTTCAATTTTTCTCGAATATCTCGACAACAGTGGTTCAACTGAGAAAAGAGTTGCGATTTTCTTAAAGCTCATAAACTTTCTGACTAAATATATTTCAAACTAAAAACCATTTCTGACTAAAGAAATTCCACATCAAAGTTGAAATCTTACTTCCGCCATCGGCGGGAGGAGAGACGCTAGCGAGATAGGGCGGTACGGGACAAAGTAATGTCCGATTTAAATAGAGTGAGCGTTGACAGATAATCAGCTGGAGGTGATTATCCAATCGGAAGCTTCATTACGACTGTGACCATTGGAACGTAAGTTCCCGATTGAAAAACCGCGTCTCGACTACAGATGTGCTGATCATCAGATCTAGACGCGGTTATCTAATCGGGAGCTTCGTTGCGACGTACAATTTTGGTATTGAAGCTACCGATTGGCACAGTACGGGATCTGCCGCCACTCTCTATTTAATTAGGACAAAATAGCGAAACGACATCGGCAGCAAAAGATTAATGTTAATAATACATCGATCAAAAAACACCGATGTTTTAAAGATGTTTTTGTAACATCCCAATTAAATTCGGGCGCAACAAAACTTTAATTTGACAGAGGCCGTATTTATTAATTCGTAAATTAAGATTTAGCTGGTTGTTGAATGTTGAAAAAATAAGAAAAATAGATGATCGATGAAGATAGTAGAAACGGCGTTCGTTTGATTCGAACACACAAATTAACAGCAGGACTGAGAACAGGAGCGAAGAGAATTGGAACAGAGTGGACAGAAGCGGAGTAGGGCAATTAAACTATTACCATTTTGCACTACAGATACGATTCATTAATTTTTTCCTGACAGTTTCTGTCACTTCAACCAGTCCGCAATAATTGGCAACGGAGCTTTGTGCATATTGCGCAAGCATGGCATTTTAAAAGGAACACCATTCTCTTGCAACTTCTCGCCGTTTATAACGTTCAATGAACACCCATCATCCGTTCCTTTCGTTCGGGCAGTTTCCAGTGAAATTCATTTTCTTTTGTGGGAACACATTTCCCAGAACATTTTCTACAAATTGCTTTTCCAATATTGCGTCCTGCCGCGTGTGTGCGTGTATTTTCAGTCGTTCTGAAATTGGCGGACTTTAGTCAAAAAGTCGAAACATCCAGCGAGCAAAAGGAAGTATGTGGCAACACTGCTTCAATCCCCCAAGTCCTCCCCCATCTCCTGGCTTCGTGCCTGCCCCCTCCCCCCCTTAGAATACCAAACGCGCACGTATCGAAATGAACCAGACCCGTCCAATCGGCGCAGTCAGATCCGTATGGATTTTTTACTCCCCTTCCTTTGCCCGGGTCACCCTCGGCGACACTCATCCGTTTTCGTCTCTTCCCAGACACGCACGCCTCTCCTATATTTTAATAAAATTGAAATGTGATTTCAAAATAAACCGTTTTTTTAATGTTTTTTTTTTAGTTCACTCGTATGGTTATTTACGAAATAAAACCCCAATCCAAATATAAGTTTACCTTCTCGCATATTGCATACGTGGTATAGAGAAAGAAATACACTAACAACTGTAAGAAGGCGATTTTTTTCAATAAAAAATTCGTATTGTAGATCCCCGATATCGAAAAGTGGATGATTCTTATTCCGATGAGGAGAAAACGACTTGGTCCAACATGTTCTTTAATCGGAACGCATGTTTCGTAGGTTCTTGACACCGAAAATTAGCTTTCCGGCAAAACGCCTGTTTTGCCAAACAAAAGCAAAGCTAGCAGCTAAACCATATGCAGCAGGATTTTTCATCAGAACTGATGAAACTCCCTGATCGAAATGCCATATTCTCGG